TAATGTCCAGGTCAAACGAGGAGCTCTTCCGAGCATTCCGTGCTGATCTGAATGAGGTAGCCCCTTTTCCTCTCCCACCGCCTACTTACCGTTTTTATACTTTTCTGAGTAATTTTCGATGTCTTTGAAGCAGGTCGGCCGGATCGGGGAGGAGTACTTCGCCCGGCTGGTGAAGTCGATGGATGAGGAGAAGGCCCGGATGGAGGCCATGATGGTCGAATGCCGGAAGGAAGCCCAGGCTGCCCGGGCCAAGGCAGAGAAGATAGAGGCCAAATGGACAGAGCACTGTGCGGTTTACCGCCAGCTCTATGCCAAGCACGATGGTCTCCTCAAGGCTGCGAAAGAGGCCGATGAGCAGGCCCAGGCCAAGATCAATCAGCTGGAGGCCGAAAATGCCCGGTCAGCCGAGGAAATCGCTCGGCTGGAAGATGAGCTGCAGAAAGAGCAATCGGAGCGTGCCGCCCTTGCTGCTGCCTGGGCCACTCAAACGCCTGAGGAGTTTGCTGCTAAGGTGTTGCCTGACCGGGAGACCGCCATCCGCTTCTTCCAAGGCTTGTACAAGTACGAGGTTTCGGCCGGGATCGTCGACGAAATCGGAACGTACGGCTTTGAAAGCGGCCAGTACTCGGAGCGGAAGGCCCTCTATGGCATCCTTCAGCAGAGGATCCAAAGTTTTCAGCCAAAGGCTTTTTCTCTGCCCGAGCTGCACTCCAAGGCGCCTGAACCTCCCTTCCCGGGCATCTGACCCGTCCGGCCCTCCTTCCTCATCTGATTTTCTCTTTTTTTATATGATGTAATGGTCTTCTCCGGGCAGTTTTGTATTTCATTGACTTATTAATGAAAATATGCTTTATGTTATCATTTCTCACCATTTCTCTTCATCTTGGATTCTTTAACCGTTTAGATTGATAAATAACAGCCCGGCTTTATTTACCCGGCTTAGAATACAATTTTACCCAAGTCTTTTCGAAAGACTGGATAGTCAGCCGGGAAGACTTTAAGGCTGACCTGTTTCCACAATGGCTCAACGCCCCGTGTGGATAGGCAAACCTTGAGTTTTCCTTCAAAACATCCGGCTTAACTGGCCGGGATGCTCTCCCACTAGTAAAGCCAAATCGTTTTTAACTCCCGTGTCAGTACGGATGAGGTGTTAAATCGGTCAGACCGGTCTTCCTTTTTTTTGAGATGTCCAATTCGATTGGACGTCTAACCAGGTAGATTGGTACGCGACGAATTACCGGTTAATATATGGGGACAATCTTTCCGAAAAGAGCGAACTTTTATTAATGGTCAGGAACCAGGTACACTTTATCTATAAAATTTACGTAAGTGATGAGAGTTCCAGTGTCGCTCGACCCGGCCACCTTCCATAGTCTCCAACTGGTAAGTGCCCGGTCTGACAATTGCTTTTACACGATAGGGCCCTTCCCAGTTACGCGCCAGCTTGCCCCTCTCATTAGGCTTACTAGCATCCCTCTTGCGCAAGACTTCATCATGCACCTGGAAGTATCGCGGTCCTACCCGGTTATCATGATACCGCTTTACCGACTGCTGATAACCGGCCATCTTAACAGCTGCTATGGTCCTTCGTTCTTCCACCAGATTCAACTCAGCTAGGTGGTCGACATCGTTCTGGCCGGGCTGATACACGGTTTCTCTAAATGTTGGAATTTCCGCTTCAACTGGCAACCGGGCTTCACATCCGTAAGTGAGCACAAATGGAGTTTCTCCGGTTGACCTTCTTGAAGTCACCCCAGCGCCCAGACCGTGTGAGGCAAAACTTCCAACCATTTATGGCCTTCTTCTCCCAACCTCTTTTTTAGGCCGTCCACTATCGTCCGGTTAGCATTTTCATCTTGGCCATTTCCCTGTGGATAAGCTACTGAGGCCTTGCTGTGCTTGATTCCAAAATTAGCCAAGTACTCAGTGAACCGGGGGTTACGAAACTGCGGACCATTGTCGGTAACAATCATCTTCGGGGCACCAAACCAAGTGATAATGTTTTTCCAAACAAATTTCTCACACTGCCGCACGGTTATGGTAGCCATTGCCTCGGCCTCGACCCATTTAGTGAAGTAATCAATAGCCACCATCACGAACTTCTTCCCGCCTTGGGCGACCGGGAAGGCTCCAATAATGTCAATCCCAAACCGGGCAAATGGTATGACATTAGACGTTAGTTGGTAGTATGTGGCCGGTCTGCCGGGATGTTTGTAAAATACCTGGCACGTCCTACATCTCTGGACATACCGCTCACAATCCCCCACAATGGTCGGCCAGTAGTAGCCAAGCAATATTATCCTTTGAGCCAGGGTGCGAGACATTTGATGGGCCGCACAAACACCCTCATGCACCTCAGCTATTACCCGTTCAGCCTCTGGAATGGTAAGGCAACGTAAGAGAGGTCCATCGATGGCACGTTTGTACAAGTGACCATCGATTACCTGAAAACGGGGAGCCCGCAGGACCACCTTCCTGGCCCGTTCCTCGTCATCCGGTTTCTGACCGGTCTCCAAATATTGCATGAGATCGTGCCTCCAGTCATCATCTGCTCCGATTGTCCCGGTAGCCGAATTCTGGCCCGGTTGGATAGCCGCGATTTCAAACCGGACTGTACTCGGCACGTCCATGATCTCAATTTTCGCCAACTTCGACACATGCTCCTGGCAGGCTTGTGTCAATTTTGAAAGCATATCTGCATCAGCGTTTTCCGACCGGGGTATCCTAGTCAGACGAAACTCTTCTAATTCCCTTAGAAGCGCTCGGACCAGATCACTATACCGGGCCAGCCGATCCTCTTTTACTTCCATCTCACCATTGACCTGTCCAACCACTAGACTCGAATCGGAACGGATCTTCATCCTTTTTATTCCGAGTGTCCGGGCTAATCTGAGGCCACCGGCCAACGCCTCATACTCCGCCTCATTGTTGGTGAGTTTGAAGTTGAAGATCAAGGCATGGTAGATCTTGAATCCTTCCGGGGTAGTGAAGACTACGCCGGCCCCGCATCCCTTCGGTCCAGAGGCTCCATCAACGGCCATGTCCCACCACGGTTCGACCGTATGGGAGGGTCCGGCTTCGGGCTCTAGACCGGTCAGTTCAACGAGGAAGTCTGCCAAAGCTT